TTTTGATTATGCGTTTCAGTCATCAGTCAGTTTCGATGACCGCTTTTCCTTTCGAGTCATTAGAGCAGATGCGTCAGACAGTGTCTCCAACATTCCCGATCCTGTGCCAGAGTCTCAGCTTCGGCAGAAGACAATCGTGGTATAGGGCAGACTTGTTTCATATGTTTGCACCAAGTTAATCTTGACTCTTCCCTGGGCCTGCTGCCTGTCGGTTTGGCACGAAACAGTTGCTTAGCTTTCCTGGAGGCATTTGCAACAGTTGTGACTTCTCACTCTGAAGAAACAGCGGCTGTACTCTAAATCTTTCGCGGATTTCTGTACTGCGGACCATGTCGAGAGGGGTAAGGCCTGAGACTTGTCTCAGAAAGTATATTTCAGCAGCTTGATCCGAGATCCAGGTTTTTCAGTCATGTCCTATGACTCATGACCGTAGGTTACATAAGTGATTATGTCTTTCGTTATGGCCAAATCTGTAAAATCCTCAATTTTTCTATTTATGCGGTATCCTCAGAATTCCTCATTAATAATGTATTAATTTACTGAAAGCTGTTCATGGAAGGAAGTACCTTCGAGCAATTCTTTCATCAACGGCATGCTGTTTGTGTAACGTTATTTTTAGCAATATCATGCTATTTCACAAACGTCTACTATAGCGCTTTAAGGACGAGCGACCGCATGCAAAATACTCGTTAGCTCTTCATAACAAGTTTCAGTATTTCAGCCCGTTTGAAGTTACCTTTTGTAGTAGAGTTAGTATCATCTACCAAGGCCAGGTCGTTTTACGGTGCTTCAAAATTCGAGGGCTGTCAATAGATGTTCTACCTTTTATCCAGTCCCGCTAACGTATGTTTATACGAAGTAAGCCAATGTTTGTTAGCGGCTCTGAGATTCGTCTACGGTACCTTTTGCTTGTTTTAGATACAAAGGCTGTTTTCGTCGGTTCTTCAGCTTCCGTTTAGTGCCAGTGGTTCAAGACGTTTACACTTTTCCGAAAAATGTCGACCCAGTCGTGCATTTGCTTTGGACCTCAATGTCATATCAGTAAGATGCGATGCTTCTTAAGGTTGTTGCAGCACCGAAATCAGGGTTTCTCAGTTGGTAGAGCATCAGATTCAAAACTGACAGGTCCCGGGGTTGAGCTCATGCAAAGTCTCTCGCGTTTTTCCTTCTGAGGA